GGAAGAATCTGCTGCTGCAGAGTGGAAAAACACAGCAGGATCTGGAGTCTTACTTCCTGATGTGTGGACATCTCTCCTCTGATTGGCTAACAGCAACACGACTCTACCACTGACTCTGTCTGCTCTGCAATGTTGATGTTTTATCTCCACAAATAACACAAGCCTGGAGGAGTTCTGCTGTGTGGTGGAGTTGCTAATGCTAACAGTTAGGTTCTCGTTCTCTGCTTTTTCCTGGTCGCTAAACCAACAACAGCCTTCCCCGTCGTGAGTCCAGATGGGTGAGTCCATGAATGTTAGTGACAGTGTGATGTAGATCTGTCAGGCTTTTCTAATCCTGGAGTTTCACTGTTAGTTTTCTATCAGAAGCTACTGCAGGAGATTGATGTAGGAGACTATTTTCATATTCAGCCTGCATGAAACACTCAGAGTGACCCGTTAGAATCAGAAACAATCATTATTAAATGAAATTAAACACATTTATTGGTTATTGATGTAACTACTGGTGTGAGGAGGGCAGATTATATATAAGATTTTCTTCCATTTGCTCCTTTTCATTAAAGTATTTGCCACTTAGGTTGTATTTGTTGTTCATTATTTCAACAATAAAGTAAATAGGAAATAATTACACAAATAAAGTTTTTAATTGAGGTTTTACTGCGATTCCAAGTGAGTTTAAATGAGACATGATCCATCTGCTCCCGGAGAAACCAATCACTTGAAAACTTTAGGCCCATTTCAAAACTTCTGTTTTTTATTAAGATTTTAGAGAAATGTGTGCTCATTCAGGAGCTGGCTTATCTAAATCTTAATTAGAACATTCCAGAAACGTTTCTGTCTGGTTTTAAATCATTTCACAGCACAGAGCTTGCCCTGGTGGAAGAAATAAGTGATACTCTGCTAGCAACAGACATGTTCTGCTGGTTATGCTGGACCTCACTGCTGCCTTTGACACGGTGCACCATTAGGTGCTGCTCTCTCGGCTGCAGCACCGTGGGAAAGTCTGACATAGCTCTGCAATGGTTTAGGTTACATCTGCCCTGTAGGACCGTGTGAGGTTGGGCTCATTCTCATCCACATCTGAACATCTGCCACTGCAGGGCTCAGTACTGCAGCCATTGGTGCTGTGCTTGTATGTTCTGCCTCTAATATGGATTTTCATTCCTTATGATGGCTGCCAGCTTCATTTACCCATTGATAAACCTGATGATCACTACCCAAAAGCTCTTTGTTAGGCAGAGGTCAAGGCATGTTTTTTTAACATGAACAAACATAATGGTGTTGCTTTGTTAGTCTCATTTTTAATGTGTTTTATTCGTTTTTAGTGGATTTTATGTGTTATGTTTCTGTCGCTGTCTGAGAAGCACGTTGGTGGCAGGAAAGTGTCTGTAAGGTGCTATATAAATAAAGTTCGAGTCGAGTCGATAACACTGAGGCGGTGTGTTTGGGGTTGTGCTGATGGCTCCAGCATTGATGTTGGTCATCTTACTCCTCATCTGAGTAGATCTGCGGTAGATTCTGAGGTAACATTTGGCAACAGAAAAAAGTGGTTGTCTCATCTTCCTTCTTTAATCGTCTCATCTTTAGGACACCTGATCTAAAAACTGTCATTAACGCTTTTATTAACTCGCCTTTAGATTGTTGACTTCACTTCATTTGGGTTTAGCCAGATGAGCTCAATTCAACTAGTTCAACATGCAGAAGGGAGGTTTCTAACATCTTGAGCCAGTCCTGTCTCTTTCAGGACTTGTTTTAAACATCTTTCACCGTTTTTCTTAGCTGAATGGCTCGGCACCAAGTTACCCATCTGACCACACCTTTCTACGCTCACTTTGCTCAGAAAACTCACTTCAGTTCAACTTTATTTATAAATCCCCTTCCTACCCCCAGTCAAGGGGGCCCAAGGTGCTGAACAAAGTAGAGCCCTGCACTGAAGCCCTAGGCCCTCGGGTCGGCCCGGCCCGACGGCCCTCGGGCCGGGCTTCGGGCCAACGACTGTGTAATTACCTCGGACACGGGCCGGGCGCCTTTATTTTTATTCGAAATCATTAAAAAAATTAAAACACTTAAACGCAGCAGTAGAGCCCTGTGCGGGACTGTTTTCTTCATCCCGCTCCGCTCCCGCTGAATTTCTGACCATTACAGCCTGCAACAGCAACGTGTGTGTTACACTCCCGCCCGCACCTGCAGCGTGCATGTCTACTCCCGCCCGCACCTGCAGCGTGCATGTCTACTCCCGCCCGCACCTGCAGCGTGCATGTCTACTCCCGCCCGCAACTGCAAAACTCTGAGAAATTATTACCTCACAATAAAAGAGATGTATTGAGTTTGCGTCCTCATGTCATTTTATAGGTTATCCGCTTTCACCGCAGCGCTGCGCTCCGTTTCAATCAGGCTGTACAGCAGGATTTCCCCTCGTAGCGATATTTTCTCTAACTCTGATTGCTTCATGCTATAGATCGTTGGAAAGCTGCTTTTATGTACTTTTATGAACCGTTGGAATTATTTGAATCTGATCAACCATTCAAAAGTTATAAAACGGAGCATTTTGGATGACAAACTCGCACGTCTCTGAATCTGTGTTGTGGTTTGTTGCGCTCAAGACAGGAAATCCCGGTGGCTACCGTAATGTATTGTATATGCACGGAAAGCCCCATTTTTAATCTTTTCAGCACTTTTGGAATTTTAATGATATCTTGAACTAGAGCAGGGATCGGCAACCCGCGGCTCTTCCATCTATCTGCGGCTCTCTGTGCTTGTAAAATAATGAATGGATATTTAAATAAAATGCTTTATATTTTACTGAATTAATTTTATATCTGTAAGTCAATTCTATGTGAAGATTGTCTGCGTAAACCTGAACAGTTCCAACCCAGTCTTACTGTGAGACCGTGTTGGGTCACGCTTGTGCGTAATCATATGCGCTCATGAGCTGAAGAGGATGTCAGATGGGATTCTCCTCAGACGGCTCCTGGATGTGTCGCACATTGGAGACAGGAACAAGCGCTATTCAGCCAAAGTTTCATAATCAGGGAACATTTTCTAAGTGACAAGTCTCTCTGAGAGACAGGGTTTGGAAAACACTCGCTTCAGTGGGAAGCTTCCCGCATGCGCTTCTGCGACGCTCGGATCCTGCACATCTTTTAACACATTGGTCAGGATTGACGCACTTTGTTTTCATTTAGTTGGTTAAAAAAAAGTCGGGCTTGGGCTCGGGCCGGGCCAGAGAATCCTGAAAACCTTTTCGGGCCGGGTCGGGCTGGGGCTCCACCCCCTCAGGCCAGGCCGGACACGGGCTCAGATTTTAGGCCCGTGCAGGGCTCTAGAACAAAGTGTTAGGAGCAACTAAAACACAACAAAGCGGCTGTGTAGTAACATGCAGAAATACAACATTTAAAATGCCATAAAACTAAAGTCTAGCTTTAAAGGTGGAGAGTGAGTTAGAGTTACAGATGGCTGAGGGAGCAGCTGGAAGCTCTGCTCCTCATAGTGCTGAGGATGAAAGATGGAGCAGAGAGGTTGATGATCTGAGGGAACGGATGGGAGAGACAATGCGAATGAGGTCAGACAGGTATGAGGAAAGGTCATGGATGGCATCACAGGTGAGAAGAAGCATTTTTAATTCAATGTGTTGTTTAACAGGAAGCCAGTGCAGGAGGACAGGGCTGACATGGTGACCCACTGGGGTTTTGGAAATGATGGGTGCAGCTGAGTTCTGGACCAGTTGGAGCTTCAGGAGGGACTTTTGTGGTAGACCAAACAGGAGTAAAGCATGGTAGTCAGTTCAAGTACATGGAAGTGAGTGGGGGGTGAGAGAGGGGCGAAGACGATTAATTTTATGAGGAATGTCCCGATATAACTTTTTCACTTCTGATACGATGCCGATACTGCAGCCTTCATTACTGACCGATGCCGATATGACATCAGAAAAAAATGACATGCTTTTACCTAAAGGCTTGGTCATCTTACATGTTAGCGTCGACACGGCCCCAAAAGGTACCGAACGGCACCAGAATCTGGTTTCACACACAGGTCAGATTAGCGTTCTCTGTGCCGAGGCGACTCTTTTTCTCAGACCTTCTCCCCAGTGGTCAGAATGGGACCGAGACAACACTACGGACTGATTGGCCAGCTGAAATCACGCCTACTGCCTCCGATCTGCGAGAAAAATGAGCCAGCGGGGGGTTTCCTGCATGCGTGATTCATTTTCATGCTGCTGAGTAAACTTCTGTCTGTAGCACGGAGCTGCCGATGGGAACGGGAAAAGAGAATAGCTCTGTGTGTGTGTGTGTGTGTGTGTGTGTGTGTGTGTGTGTGTGTGTGTGTGTGTGTGTGTGTGTGTGTGTGTGTGTGTGTGTGTGTGTGTGTGTGTGTGTGTGTGCGTGCGTGTGTGTGTGGTTTGCTTAATCATCATCCTCTAAACCTAACTAAAGCTTGATCGGCCCTGTCCCAACCTCCAGCTCACCCAGTAAGGGTGTCTGACTGGTTGGAGTGGAAACCTGCTCTGGTCTCGAAATCTAGCTGAATCTCACAAGAGAACTTGGTTAAAACCAACCTAATAAAACTCTAACTTTGAAATTATGATTCTACTCCAACCCAGCCGTCTGCTATCTTCCAGTCGCGTGTGTGATTTTCAAAGTAAAGTAATAACATGAAAGAGAGACAGAAAGAAAGAAAACACTCTTTACTTAAGATGAAAATCACGAGGCACTTCACAAGAACAAAAATTTAAAAAATAAAAAAGATCTAAAAAATTATTCAAGAATATAAAAATGATAAAAGTTAAAAATTGTGGAGAAAAATGTCAGAAAAGGGAAACTGAAATAAGAGCGAGGTGTCAGTGGCTGAAAGAGCAGAATAAGTGATGAAGGTAGACTAAAGCCAGCCTGCACAGGTAGTCGCTGCAGGTCTGACAGCAGTGGGCTACCAGGAAACATAAACCAGTCAACAGCTTTAATCTTATTAAACCATGTGTGGGCAGCGACAGGGATCTGGCAACCTACCCGTCACTGTCTTGGTTTTCAGCGGGCTGCTGGCGTAGTCCGAGGCCTGATTAGAGAGCTGCTTGGCCCGAGGTGTGCTGCCTACAGACACGTCGTCTTCTCTCCTTTTGGCCAGAGGAACCGCGCCTGCATTCTGTAATGACATCACAGCACGACTCATGGAAATGTAACGTGTCATCATTTAGTGGGTTTTTATTGAATCTGCTTGGACATGACTAGAATATTATAGCATGTAAACACATTAGAGGAGTCAGATAGGGAGTGAATGGTGAAGCCGTGACAGACACAAGCATGTCATAAACAGCCCTACTAGCTGTATCGGTAGATGCTCCTGCAGCATCTATCAGTGGTACTCAGGTCCAAGTCCTGCCTGCAGCTGTGGTTAATGATCCAGCAGTGAAGCTACCAACGTAGGTGCAACACGCTCTTTACCACATGACTGCATCTCATTAACATAAAACCCGAATGCTTACATCCTAACCTAACCCTAACAAAAAGATAAAGCAACAAATGACAAAACTCGTGTTTTTTAAAGGATCATCAAACATATGAACTGTTAAAGGTTCCATATGATGAAAAGTCTACTTTCTGGAGCTTTTGATCATGTGATATTCTCATTTCCTCCAGAAAATTACCCCTACATTCAGTTTTGGCTGCATTTGTGCATTTTCCTGACGCTGTTGTAGGTGCATTTAGAGTGAGCATGGGCGGAGCTTCATTGAAACAAACAGTTTCATTTCCAGGTATGAATTCAGTCTGAAAAGTAACTCATATTTAAACTAAATGACATCTGAGTGGTGCCAACGGTGATATTTTATCATATACGGTGCCTATTTTTGATCTCAGGCAGCATGGTGGCACAGTGGTTAGCACTGTTGCCTCGCAGCACGAAGGTCGCAGGTTCGAAACTCGGCTGCGGCCTTTCTGCGTGGAGTTGCGTGTTCTCCCCATGTGTGCGTGGGTTTCCTCCGGGTACTCCGGTTCCCACAGATCACAACATGCCCCATAGGTTATAAATTGTAAGTCGCTTTGGATAAAAGCGTCTGCTAAATAAATAAACATAACACAACATGATCTGGCTCCATTAAAGAGTAAGTCACCCCTACTCCTCATGTAAGCACTTTAGTGATTCAGCCTAAACGTGTGTGTGTGTGTGTGTGTGTGTGTGTGTGTGTGTGTGTGTGTGTGTGTGTGTGTGTGTGTGTGTGTGTGTGTGTGTGTGTGTGTGTGTGTGTGTGTGTGTGTGTGTGTGTGTGTAAAAACACAGAAGCCTCTGCAGCTATGCATCCAGGTGTGACTCTGACTGGACTCAGGGAAGCTGCACAGATTCTCATCTACCTGCATTCGGCACTCGGAGTAAACAAGGCTTAAAGGTGAGCATCTGGTCCGTGTTAGCTGAACTCACCTGTCCCTGATTCCCTTGCACACCTGTTTGGTCCTCATTACTCTGCACATTTACACCCAGTTTGTTCTGGTCCTACTGATCCCTGCCTACCTGTGTGTGTGTGTGTGTGTGCGTGTGTGTGTGTGAGTGAGTGTGTGAGTGTTTCCTGACCTGGCTTTAGTATAAGACGCTCAAACCTTCTCACCTGTGATTGGGTCCTCGCCAGAACTTTGGTTCATTGTTTTATCATTTCCATGTGGTTTTGTTGGTTTAAGGTTGAGTGTTTGAGGTTCTGCCAGAATGATGAATCCTTTATTATTGATCTTTCACGATTAACCTGCCAGGCACTAGAGGTGAACATCAGCCTGCATGAACCAACATCTCTTTGCACTGCTGTGATGACACACCTCAGTAAAGGTGAACAACTTTGGAGACGTTCCACATCGATGTCTTTAGCTTTCCAAATCTGTGTAAGGATGGAGGCCCTGGGCCTCAGATCACACCTGTAGGATTCAATTGGATTGATTTCCTGTGAAATCTTTGCTATCTGAATCGAATTTGGGCCTGTTCCAAAGCTAGAAGGGTTTAAAAAGCCAAATGGAACATTATCTAATTAGGTTCATTAATAAATGTGTATCCTCCATGTCAGAAGACAGGTGGTAGACTTAATGACCGCGGCTCATTCCTCCTGAATGACCTAACTCCTGTCCAACACACGGGGGACTGGGAGTGCTGAAAACAGCCAAAGCAAGTCTCTATTCTCTCTCTTCATTACTCACTTCCCCAGCCTTTTCCACACTTATCTGATTTGTGCGGTTTCCCTTTCACTCTGGTGACACTGTGCTTTACTTTAACCCCACCTGCTTGGTTCTGGCCAATACTCATGAACCTCCTTCTGTCCTCTCTTGTTTATTCCTCCTTTTATTACATGCACGTCCCTTCTCCTGGTATTTAATTATGCACTTATCACACACGTGAGTGAGTCTCAGACTGTTTGTGTTATTCTTACAAAATCTGCTCTGTTTATGTCCAACATACTTGCTTTTCCTTTGCTCTGTACCCTAAACGTTCCTCCTGTTTTCCACGTGTTTTTAAGCATTTCCTGGAATTTTGACTCGAACAAGTCCGTGTCCTCTCCACCGTCCTTCACATGTCGTTGACTGGCCTTCCTTGTCAAACTAGCCTGGCCTCGAGAGGTGGCCCTGACACAGGTTGAGGTACTTGGCTCCACAGAAACACACCAGCTTGGTTACACTCACACAACACCAAGTGCTTCATGCTGGCTGCAGTTCAACTCATAACATGTGCTCTCCCTGATAAAGTAAACACTGCAAGAAAAAGGGTAAGTTATTTACTCTCTTTTACTGGTTCCAACATGTAAACCCATCTAGACTACAACTGGAAACAGTCATGCTAGTGGTTAAAAATTCCATCTATTTATCCGGGGTCGGGTTGCGGGGGCAGCAGCCTAAGTCGAGAAGCCCAGACTTCACCCTCTCCCCAGCCACTTGGGCCAGCTCTTCCGGGGGAACCCCAAGGCTTTCCCTGGTCAGGCGAGAGACGTAGTCCCTCCAATGTGTTCTGGGTCTACCTTTAGGTCTCCTCCCAGTTGGACGTGTCCACAAAACCTCACCAGGGAAGAGTCCAGGATGAAACCTGACCAGATGCCCGAGCCACCTCAACTGGCTCCTCTCGATGTTGAGGAGCAGCGGGTTTACTCCAAGCCCCTCCCGGATGACCGAGCTTCTCACCCTATCTCTAAGGGAGACCCCAGCCACCCTGCGGAGAAAACTCAGTTCAGCCGCTTGTATCAGGCATCTCGTTCTTTCGGTCACTACCCAAAGCTTGTGACCATAGGTGAGGGTAGGAACATAGATCGACCGGTAAATCGAGAGCTTTGCCTTCTGACTCAGCTCTCTCTTCACCACGACAGACTGGTACAACGCCCGCATCACTGCAGATGCAGCACCAATCCACCTGTTGATCTCACGCTCCAGTTTTCCCTCATTCGTGAACAAGACCCCGAGATACTTAAACTCCTCCACTATAGGCAGGACCTCATCCCTGACCTGGAGAAGGCATTCTACCATTTTCCGATTCAAGACCATGGAGCTCTGAGATGCTCTTGGTCCGATCCGAACCCAGATAAATGGGAGAAGATGGGTGTAGGAACCAACAGCTGGCCTGGAAGATGGACAGATACTGCCGGAGAACAAGAGGCTTCCAGTACCTGTTGCTGTTTCCTGCCGCTCCCTCGGTGAGGCTGATACAACAACCATGTGCAGATGATCGGGTCCACATTTACAGCTATGCCCTGGACACTGACCAGTAGAACCGCACCTGAAAAACAAGCAAATCAACCACGTGTCATTCATCTAACCCAGGAATGAGAAGAAAAGTGCTTTAGAAACTGTCAGATGCAGACGAGCACAGAAACAGCAACACAGAGGCTTTCTTCTAGAGGAGGCAGGCTGACACGTCTGTGAAACCGAGGTGGTGTAGCCACTTAGGGCAGATCTGTGCAGCTTGGGTGTCAGATTCAGTCAGCTGAAGACCTGCTGGTAGGCATCAGACATGGAGAGCAGCAAAGAGGCACAGTTTGTTTCAATTGTGCCGTTCAAAGTGGTCTCGCACTAAGCCAAGAATAACATTTTCTTTTGATAAATTTCAGCGAAACTCAAGACTTTCTTTGGGTTTTGGTTTACTCTTAACAATAATCTTCACCAACAATAAGCAAGCCCTGAGGTAACGCATTAGGATCATATCAATAATGATTCCCATGCCGGCAGGATTAGTGCAGGCTCTCTGGCGTGCCGTGGAATGTCCCAGCATGACGGTGGGAGGATGTTTCGGCTCTAGCAGGACTTTCTGCACTTAAGCAGAGCTTTGGTCTTCTGCTGCAAACCCAGAGTCAGGCCCTGGGTCAGGCTGGTGTGTTCTTCTGAATGAGTGTGTCCTAAACCTAACCCTCTTTACCTCCAAAGAGCCCTGCTTGCCCAACATCATAATGTTTCTAAGGCATGCATAAAAGCCCCACAACCAAACATGCACGCATGCTTTTTGCACCAATTCCCCTGCTTGGCTAGCTCCGTTCTCTATAATTCCTTGTGAACAATTCAAATAAAAGTTCACTAATTCACTCTGCAATTACAAGCTGTGATTTGTGGCCTGTGGCCTGGCCTGAGTTTGTGTGTGTACATTTGTTATGGAGTAACGTTATGACATCAGGCACAATCCTTAGTGTTAAAGTACACACACGTTCCCAGACGTTCAGCTTTGGAGCAATACAAAGAAAAAGAAGACCCTCGTCAATAGGCCTCTTATTTAAAATACCTACTCAGCTTTTATATTGTTCTCCTTTACTGTCAGTTGTTTAAATGTCATGGCTAAATGCAGAAATCCTATATCTGTGCTTTATTTTCCCTGTAAGGACATTTTAAAGAGGGAATGGATTTGTTTAGTAGTTTTGTATCTGCCCTGGCGCCATGAAGCGTCTCCACAGGTGCACAGACCTTTATCTGTCGTTCTTTTCCTCCTTGTTACTCGGACCTGTAACCATACATCTCAGTTTGCACCGTGAACACTGAAAACGACAGCACTCGAGAAGCAATTACAACTGCGTCACCAAAGTACAATCCTAACAAGAAGTAAGCAGTGGTGCTGGCTCCACGTACACTGTAAAACTAACTGGGATGTTATTCCTCGTCACCCAGTGGAACACCCAAGGTGAGTGACTGCTGTCTCAGGATTAGATCAGCGGATCAAACCAAACCTTCACTCATTATTTTTATGTTCGATCTCAAGTCTCGTGTTATCATCGTGTTATTCACACGTCTGAGCACCTGAGCCTCATTATATTTGGCATCACTTCATCAATTTTTGCAGTTTTCCTCTACCTTCACTATTCTTTCTAAAATATTCCTAAACCCTCACTCATCATCCTAGATCCATCACTCATTCCTTCTCCTGACAAGGAATCATAACCTCACAGCTGCGGCTTGAACTTCCATCCCACACTGTGGCTGCCTAATGGGCTTTGGCTGTGGCTGTCAGGCTGAGGCTTGACTTCAGTGGTTTTGTCCCTGCTTAGGGCAGCATGAGCAACAGAACCAGAGTGGTGAAGATGTGTTTGATGAATCTACTCTAAACGCTGGTCTTTGGGATCTACTGAGCACCAGCAAGCACATTCAGCAGAAAAGGCCCATGTCCTCGCAGACAGGTCCTGGACTGGTTCTTCACAGTTACAACACATCTAAATTTCCTTTTCCCACCATTTTAAACAACCGGATCACGTGATTGCCAAAGCTGCGGTTTGCAGCAGCGCTCCTGACTGACCCAGGATCTGTTGAAAATGGTTAATGGTCTGTGTTTGTATAGCGCCTTCTTAGGGTTCTACAACCCCCCAAAGCGCTTCACAACACAATCAGTCATCCACAAATCCACTCGCTGGTGGGGATGAGCTACGACGTAGCCACAGCTGCCCTGGGGCGTACTGACAAACACAAGGCTGCCGAGCACTGGTGCCACCGGTCTCTCTGACCATAGCCAGCAGGCAAGGGGGTAAAGTGTCTTGCCCAAGGACACAACGGCAGCATTCTCTAGTGGGAGCTGGGATTGAACCTGCAACTGCTCTACTTGCTGAGCTACTGCTGCCCCACTATTACTCTGACAAGCGGGGGTTATGGGAGTTGAGCCCAACTCTTCAGCTGACATTAATGATGGCTGTGGCCGTCTACCGGCACCGAGGGTGAATGACGGACAGCTTTTACTGTGATAACACTAAGTGGACTTGAAAGTCCTGGAACTTCTTTTAAAAACCATTCGAGTTCCTCCGATGCCACAGACTGTTGCAGAGTTAAGCATCACCAGAGGGTAAGACACCTAACCCGCCTCACCTGCTGGTGGTGGTCGGAGGGACCGATGGCGCCTGCGTTCAGCAGCCTCGCCCCTGTCAGTGCACCCCAGGGCAGGGCGTGTGAATAGGTGGATGACTGATTGTGTTGTGAAGCACCTTGGGGGGTTGTAGAACCCTAAGAAGGCGCTATGGCTATTAGCCATTTTTACCATGTAAATGTGTTCAGTGTTAGAGCTGCATGTTTCCGTTTGAAAGCTATTTTTACCTTGTTTTCCTCCTCGTGTTTTTAGAGTAGAACCAGAAGAAGGGATGGTTTAATGAAGCACAAGGAGCTTCATCAGCACGTTCATAAAACGGGGTTAACTCAGCTCTCCTGCTGTGGTATGAAGGATTTATGTATTTTATTACCTTTACTCTGTATAACCTTTGCTTTTAGCCTGGGCAGCACTCTGGGCAGCCTAGGCTGGTGGCGGTATAAACCCAAAAAAGAAATAACTTATGCTGGAAGAATGGTGCTGAACCTTGATTAGAAGGAAATTGTGAATTGAACAGAAATGGTTCATCCCCAGAACATAAAGCATGAACGTAATGGGAGTAAACATTAGACATTAAGTACGAGGATAACGATCAGCTAGATTTGCTGAACCAGCAGTCCGACTCCGGTAAAGCATCTGGAGATGATGGACTTCGGCATGTTGACAGATCCCAGCTCTACTTAAAAAGCTGTCTGAGTTTACTCGAGCCCGCTGTGCCACTTTGACAGTGACAAAGAAATAAAATATGTGTTGGGCTGGCTCGGGAGGCTTTGAAGGCCGCAGCTTTAGCATTTATACTGTGTTCTTGTGTTGACATAACTGTCTAGGAGTGACAAATCCTTTGAGGCGTGCAGCACCATGAAAGGGTCTAGAGTGTGACCTTGGCAGCAGGCTAACTGTTGTTTTTCCTCCATTCTGACGGCGTGGCATCTGGGTCATTACACAAAGTGATGACAATGATAACAAAGGTGTTTTTTTTGCTTCTTAAATGATTCCTGAAGAAAACATTAGAAAACTGCCCAGTGGCCTCGCCTGAAAACATGCACCACTACAGAGCGGAGTGTGAAGACACTGTTGACAGTCCCACAGCGAGCCCCTTAATGCGCAAGCTGTTGTTTTTCCTACAGTGGCAAAAGAACAGCAGAGTTAGTTGTTTTACAGCTTTGTGACATCAACACGCTTACGGCCTGAGGCTAGCTAGAGTCAGGAAAGAGCCGAGGAGTCAAAGAGCAAAGGGGTAAAAGCTTTCCATCTCCATAATTCATTTATCCGCATGCAGAAAGGACACATCCTGAAATAACGTCTGTCCTCTTTGACTTTAGTTCCACCAGTTCTGAGACACGGGGCCTGTTTATGTCTAAACCATCGTCTCCCGTTTGAGACCCAAGTCCTGATTAGGGTCACCAAGGTCGCAACCCCTCAACTAGAAGGCCATGACCTCAACATCAGCGTGAAAGACAGGCACAGAAATGTGGGAGGTGATCTTCAACCACCTCCTAAGTAGACACAGGGGGGTGTTTAAACCACAGCCAGTTTACCACCCCCTCAGAATTGTTTCATTGTTGGACGTGAGGCAGCACAAGGACCCCGCGCCCAGCGTCTCCAACAGAAAATAAATAAATATAGCCCAGCCCGAGTCAGCCAGATGACTTCTGACAGGTTTGGTTAATTTCTAAGCCAAGTAGCAAAACAAAACATTACGCCAGCCTGCAGAGCCTACACCACCTTTAATTGCTTTTCCGATGAGCTCATGACTTGTAGGTGTCCCGGAGCAAGCCATGCAGCTCAACAGGTGTTCTACTGGTGTGTGTGTGTGCGTGTGCGTGTGCGTGTGTGTGTGTGTGTGTGTGTGTGTGTGTGTGTGTGTGTGTGTGCGTGTGTGTGTGTGTGTGCTAACACCATTGAGCCAGCTGTGTGACGGTGGCACTTGAACACACACATGCTTCTGCCCTGCTGAGCTGCGACCCAGTGGCCCAAGGCCATCCTACCACAGGAGCCCGGGGGCTCAGGAAGGGCACGGGCAGGTTTGTCTGGAAACAGGCCTGGCCTACAGAAAGCCTGCTCTCATCCTGGATCTATTTGAGTTCACTGCACTGGAAGCTGGTGAATGTGTGTGAATGATGTTTTACCAGTCAACAAACCTAAGTGTGTGTTTGACTTTCAGTCAGCTCCTGCAGCAGTTTCAGCAGAGCAGGGACAACAAGGGGAACACTGGTTTGCAGCTGGAGACCACAGACATGTTCTTTTGTCTGACTGCTGTTCCAGTGTGTAGGAGCATGAGGCAACACCTGGACCCTACCGATGCTGCACAGGCAGTCCTACAGCACCAGGGTCATGCATCAAAATGTTTGCTTTGTCTTCAAGCCCTGACTCACAAACCTGGAAGAGATTCCAGGAGACAGGCAGATACTTAAGAGCAGCCCTGTGCTGCTCTTTTGCCAGAGCCTTAC